ATGATATATAGAGAGATTATATTTAAATTATTAATATATGGTCTATTTTTCCATGCAAAGACAAATCTATCTTTATACCTTCCCTCCTATTTTTATTCATGTAATATTTAAATGCCTCCTGAAGTTGGCTATTTGGAGCTGGCAAGTGCTGTCCTGAGCATCCATGAATTGAAGACACTGTCAGCAGCTGTGACTATGTTATCCAACACCTCCTTTTCCTACTACACTTGTTGACAATTTATGAACAATAATTTGTTTCCCTATACTACAAAAGATGCTTTAAAGACACCGGAGCAGTGATGCTGATGCCTTCTCGCTGTCCCCGGCAGCAGCTCAGCCATCCAACAGCCCTAAGGAGACACACTGAAATCCTACTTAAGACCCAAGCCTTGGGGCAAGAATGAGCATCTTTTATGTTTGACACCTGGATAGATGTGTTAGTAGAACTGTCACCTTCTTGGGTGTGTTCACATTACTGATGCGGTTTCCTCCATGATTCCATTTTCCACTTGAAGGGATTAACTCTCTCTAGGGTAAGGTAATGTTCTGCCCTACCTCTGCCCCAGGACTGACTGCCCACCAAAAACAAAGGGCTCTTATGACTTACAAAACACATTTGTTCCAGCAAAATATGATGCCAAATGAGTCTCATCTCCCACCAAATTCCTGGTCCATCCCCAGAGCCAAGTGGAAGGCTTCTGAGGGCTGGACACATTCCTCTTCAGTTGGCTGTTCCTGGCCTTTCCTGACGCCAGGAAATATCTGGCTAGAAGGCACCAACCACCTCTCAGCCCTGGGCATGCCCCGCTGCCCCCTGACAGTGTCACTGGAGCTTTGCTACCTGCCACGACCTCAGGAGACCTCAACTAGCCCAGGCTCCTTCCAAGGTCCAAGTCCTTCCAAGTGCTTCTGAGGGATATGCTAGCTGGGTTTTCCTTTTTTTTTTTAACAATTAATGTATTTTCCCATATCTTTGCGTTTTCAAAAACAGACCACGGTAGGACTCCCTTTTTTAGATTGCTACTTCTCAAAACATTCTCTTTCACGTGTATACACGTTTCTGTGTGTACATGTGTCCTGTGAGTGCTCCAGCTCTAATCCCAGAGTCGGGCCAGCAGGGCTGCGCCACGGCGATTCTGGTTTACCCCTGAGGTTCCCTTGCTGTGGAGACAGCTTCCCTGGACAGTCCTCAGAGAGCCACTGGCCCTGGGTACTTCCCAGACACATGAGGGAACGGTGCACAAGGAAGCTTCCAGATTCTCCAGAGTTGCTACTGGGTTCAAGAATGGCTGATCACCGTGGAGGAAACATGATGGCCATGCCACCTCTCCAGTCTCTGAGAGATCTTGAACTCCCCTTGGATTCCTGCCAGGCCACTAGAAAGCAGAGGCACGGCCTGAAGGACTCTAGGCTCAGGCGTGGCCGGAGGGCAGCAGCTGCAGGTTGGGTGTGGGAGGCAGACCGCTCTCAGCCCTGCCCCCCACCTACACAGCACAAAGCCAAATCTGGATCCATCTCTAGCAACTATGCAAGATGTGAGCCTGGCTTTATTTTATTTTCTCACCCTTACTTTCCTTTTGTCCCAATTTCTTCTGGTGTCTATTTAATCCTGTGGTATTGCGGGTGTTTTGTAAGCCAACTCAAATCCTTTCTAGAGCAAAGCAGGGCAAATAAATTAAATGGTCATAATCTCTAGTAATCACTTGGTAAACCATTGTCGGCTAGTGTGTGAGGGGAGCAGCTTCGACACGGAGGAACAGTGGCCTGAAGGAACCCCTGCCATTCCCTGGGAGCAGACCTGAACCACCCCATAGTCAACCACTCTGTGCCAGCTAGAGTGCCGAAGGCATCACCAAGGCAGGGGCCGGGGGGAGCCCAGCAGGACAGTCCTGGAAGCCCTGGTGGCAGGTGCCTGCACGTACCTAGGCACTAAGAGGTGGACCTGCCATCACCTGGGGTGAGGGTGACTTTGGGTGCAGCAGGCTGAAGGGAGCAAAGCCCACCACTCACTTTGGCTCCAGGACTTCAGGCTGGTTCTGGTTCATGTGAGCAAATTAGGGGGCGAAGAGGATTTCTATTCTCTGCCTGCCTGCCTTTTTCTTTTCTTTTCTTCTCTTTGTTTTTTAAGAATAGGAATGCTGGCTGTCACACTCCCACAGAAATCCAAGGCTGGAGGCCACAGGTCTCCTCCAGGCTGCACAGCTTCCACCTACACACAACAGTCCCAAGCACCGACTACACGCCAGGATCACGTGAGGACAGCCAACACGGGTTAGCCTCAAGGGCCCCAGCCTTGGGTGGTGCCGGGGATTATAAAACCATGAAGTAAACACGAGTGCCAGGTAAGGCCATCAGCACTGTCCACGCCCCAACCACTTCCAGCATACATCCCCAGCCCCGAATTCTCTCCTTCAAACTCTCGATTCTGGGACCTTCTTGGCACCTCCAGTGCATGTCTGGTGGACACTTGACACTCAGCCCCCTTCAGCCTGCTGCACCCACAGTCACCCTCGCCTCAGGTGATGGCAGCTCCACCTCACCTCAGAGCTGGCCTCAACTCCTCTCTCATCCATCCAGTCCTCTAGCAAATCCTGCTGGCTCTTCTTAAAACGTAACCTGGCCACTTCCCAGACCTCTGCAGCCCCATCCGGGTCCAGGCCCCTGTCATCCACCGCCTGAATCAGGACAGTGGCCTCCTAACAGGTCTCCCTGCCCTTGCCCTGTCCCACACACAGCCACGGGGATCCTCCCAACCCTCCTTCTCATCATAACTCAGTCAAGACCCCCTTGGTTCAAAACCCTCCTATCTTCCTAACTAACTCTGAGTAAAAGTCAATGGGACTTTTGATGCAGACCCAGAAGACCTGACGGGACACCAATCTACTGAGCATGTAGTCTGTCCAAGGCAAGTACAGACCGTGAGGGAAACTACTTAGAAAATTTACAGCAATTTGACGTTATTACAGCATTCAAACACTGACACAAAAGGCATCCCTCTGATGGACTAGAAATTCAAGGAATGCTTCCAGCCAGAGGTGGTCTGAGAGGCCCTGCCCCATGCTTCCATCAGGCCCACCTCTGCCACGCTCCACCCTGACACACCCGCCACACTCCCTCACACAGCGCCAGCCTGGCCTGCAGCCTTTCCAGTCCTCAAAAGCCCTGAGCACATCCCACTTGGGGCCTGTGCATGGCCACTCCTCTGCCCAGAGCGTTCTTCTCGACCTCCACACAGCTACTCCTCCTTCAATCCTGGCTCCATTAGTACTACAAACCACCCACCCGACTCCTCACAGAAACACTCGGCAGGGCTGTTTTTAGAGTTTTGCTATTTCCCAGAGCACTCATCACATAATGTATAATTTATTTATACTGTGTTCTCCTGCCCCATTACCAAGGAAGCTCCACAAGGGCAGGGAGCTCTGCCCTGTACTTAGCACACAGTGCCTGGTGCACTGGAGCTCAGCAAATTCTTACAGTGAAGGGAACGTGGAAGCCCAGACAGAGCCGGCCCTGTGGACAGACATCAGCAGGCCTGACCACGTCTGGAATGTGCTTCTACAGGACAGGGGGACCCCAAGGACTGGGGGGCAGAGTTGGAGGAGGGCGCCTCAGGTCCACCAGGGAAGGCTTTGTCTGCCACGTCACCAGCTCTGGGATGGACCTGCAGGGAACCCTGGCATCTAACAGGGCTTTCTGAGACCCAGGATCAGAGCATCCTTTGTAAACCTACAGGGCGTCGGCCTGGGAGAGGCTGACAGCACGGACACCAGTCAGAGGGCTGTGCTGGATTCAGGCCATGGAATGAGATGAAGGACAGAATCTGAAGCTTTCTGAGGTCAGATTTACAGATGTATGCGGGAGGTGAGGTAGAGGGAGAAGGCGCAGGGAGGGGGAAATGAGATATGGCACGTGAAAGAAAGCTCCTCTAACAGCGCGTGACCACTGGTGATCAGGACAACAGCCAAAGTCACGAGAGGCCTTCCCGGCTGTGGCTGCTCTGGTGTGAAGTGGGTGTCTCAGCGCCTGCCTCCCCCGCCCTGTGGGGTCTGGAGTCATAAGGGCACCTCTCACGAACGTCTCTCCTGAATCATAGCCTGCATCTCACCGGATCGTTTTCTGAATGGCCAGCATGGTTCTGACTCCTCTACTGCTGTATGACAAGCAGGTGCGCTCCAAGCAAGACCACCAGTGTGCATATGTTAAGCACCACCCTTACATCCAACACTTTGTGAGGCACCAAGACAGAACAGAGAAGAAACATGGGGCAGGGTCCCACTACCAACAGCCCCCCTACCCTGCGACGGGGAGGGTATAAGATGTGGAGAGGAATGCACACACCAAACATTTAAGGGAAGAATGCAACTCCACATAACACTTGTTTGCTCCAGACTCTTCTAGGGCATGGGAAACTGTCAAAGAAAAAAAATACCTATTTTTATCTTTAACTCATACCAGAGCTGAAGGAGAGGAGAAAACCACACAGGCTGTGCACCCTGAGCAACTTGCCAGATTAGGGGGCGAGGGGCAGTGGGGACCCAGGCAGAGGGAAAGGCAGGCACAGGCAAAGGAGAGAGACAGACCCTGGACTGGCCGCAGTGGAGGAGCCGGCCAGGCCTGATCATGACGTGTAAATGCCTGGGAGAGCCAGCCTGCCAAAAGGAGAGCTGCAGGGCCGGGTGAACACAAAATTAACCTAAAAACAGACACTGCAGTTACTGAATGGGTAGAACACAGGGAAAACAAAGGGGGAGCCCCATGGACTTCTACAGGAACCTGCCGGGACAGCCTCCAATTATCGGGGGGGAAGAAGCTGGCATGCCACTCCAGAGCCTTTGGGTTACCCTTCTAAACATGCTGTGACCATTTACATTTTTTACAGGGCAAAGCTGGTCAGTTAAGAAGCCAAAATCCTGCATAAACTGTTAAGGGAAGACAGGGGCATGAAGGGAAATATCCCAGAGCTAAATACAGTGATCACACAAATACCCAAGTCAAACAAGCTGTAATATTAATGAGGCATGAATGAACAGTAACTGTTTCCAGGGCTGAATAAAGGCAGGCCAGCTTATCAGGGAAGTGGCACAAAAGCTGTCTGTGCCCCTTCTAGTAAGAGTAGAAGAGAATGGAGAGCTTTCTTCTCTGCAGCAGGGACCCCACTTGGGACTGAAGGTAGATTAGACTGAAAGCATTTTCTTGTAGGCAACAGTGAAAATCTGTTTCCAGTTTAACCCGTAACAGTTGCAGGCTCTAACCAGGATACATTATTAATTAGTCAAAAGAGAAGCCCCATTTTTAGTTACCCATTGAATTAGGTATCTTTAAACACTGTGACCTAAAATTGACAGTACAGCTAACTCTCTGTTTACCGTGGTAATTGGGATTTCAGGAAGGATAGCAGTTAATTGGGAGGCAAAAACAATCCCGATTTATGCTTGGCAAGGCATGTAACACTGCATTAAGGATGATGCTTCCAGTTACCATTCACTGAGGATCTTGTATCTGCCCAGCATTGTGAGGTTTAAATCACACATTTCCGGTTCAACTTGCCACCACACAGGTGGACCTGGCAGGCAGCAGAGCCCCTCCTGTTTGTCAGTTTGGGGGCACGGGGAAGCACAGGCCATCATACCATGCCTCACCTAAACAGCAGCTCCCTGTTAAACCTTCAGAGAACTTCTAGCAAGCGATGTGTGATCGCGTAAGGGGAGCGCGGCCAGGCCACAGCTCCCAGGAGAGAGGAAGAAAGAGCTCCTGGGTCCACTGGAGGCTGGACCGCTAGGCCCAGAGGAGACAGGGAGAGAGTTGGCTGTACTGGCACAGCAAGCACGTCCCCAGCAAGCTGCCCAGCATTTCTAGGAAGGAGAAAAGCAAACCGCCGTCCCACCTCGGGCTGCGCGGTCACAAGTGAGGCAGGGCTGGGACCAGTCACCATTTGGGCGGGAGGCTAGCCCCAGGTGCGGCAGGAAGGGGTGGCGCTGGCTCAGTGGCTGCAGCTCCTCACTCTGACCCAGCGGGGCCCCTGCACGGTGCTGGGGGCACAGCGAGGCCTCAGGTGCTGTTGGGCAGGGATACATACACACATACACACAGAGAGAGACACGCCATTAGAGGATACACAGCAGCCCCTGCAGGAGTCACAGGCCAAGACCGCTCAGGGGCCTGCCTCACCCCTCGGCCCTCTGTGCTTAGAAGCTATGAAAAGCCTGCTGACCACAATCTGACCCTGAACGTGCAGCTCAAGCTCCAAGTCTGAAGGAACCAGAAAATTTCAGAGCTGGGACCATGGCAGCATCATTCAGCACCTGTGGCTGGAGGCCACAGGCGTGGTGTGAGGATGAAGGGCCCAATCCAACAACCAGGCTCCTGCACCCTCCTGTCCCACTCCTGCACCAGGAGGGTTCCACAGACCATGTGTGGAACGGGATGCTGTTTCAGCTCCATGTTCTGTATCCTCTGGTTTCTTGAGAATAACGACCGTGGAAGGCTCATAAAGAGAAGAGCAGGTCCCCTCGGCAGTGCATCGCAACCACGGCCACGTGTCACAGAGGAAGCCAAGGCGGGTTGGGATCAACTCAATCCAAGGGGAGCTGTTCTGGGGGATGGTGAAAGGGTCCTTGAAAGAAATAAAACAATTTCACTTCTTAAAAGGTAATCTTCATTTTTTGGTGCAACGTAACCCTGAGGGAGACTTCTAGAGACTAAGGTTAAATTGTTTTCAAGTGGCTTCACCGAAGTCACAACCCTGGCTTAAGCAGAGCAGCTCAAACTAAAGGGGGAAATGATGATAACTAGAAATGGGACAAGAAAATGCTAACCTGCTCCAAGCTTGGTAATAATTTAGAATTCCTAGAGGCAGGAAGTCTGACTTTACCATGCAAATCTCCCATTTGACATATGTCTCGAAATGCTGGTGGTGGCGGTACAATGTCAAATTGAAACCTGCAAAAGCAGGAAACATTAGAAGCGGTCTGGTAACAGAACCACTGACTAAGCAAGGGTTGACAGGCTACAACTTCCTTTAGAAAAAAAAGTTTTCTGTTATGCTGACACTGATTCTGATCTGTTACTGATTCCAAAAAGAAAGGGCGTGAGGATCTGTACTTTTGTTTTTGCACCCAGAAGATATAATTTCTGCAACCCCCATCTCCATCCCCACCTAGCCCCACAAGGGCCACCAGTGCTTCCTGTCTGAGTGTAGGGTCCACTCTGTGGCTGGGCACAACACTGTGAAGATGGAGGGACCCCTTCCAATGAATGGCCAGGATGCCAGCGTGGCTCACAGAGACCAGCTTACGTCAGGCCTGAACTCCACTGCTGTTCCCTGAAATCTCTTCTGAACATGGGGCAAAAACCCCAAATCATCCAACACACAAAACCAGAACATAGACCAGCCCCACCCACTGCAGACCCAGCCATGCAACCAAATCACCGAGAACTCCCATTTGCATATTTGAAAAGGAGGTCTTGGCTCATGCTAACAACCTGTAGCGGTTTGGTTTTGTTTTTTGGATTTTTCCCCTCTTTAAGTGAGAGAGACATCCAATCTCCACCCTCTGTGATGCTGAAGTAGAAAAATACACTGAGCCATTCAAGAGACCTGCAACTCAGTCAGCTGAAAAACATTTAATACAAGATTAAAGAAACCAGATTATCAAGAAAGAGCATTCATTTCCTCCCGGCTACCAGCGTCAGCTCCCCACTGTACATGCAGCAGGACAGTCCCTTTGCTACCAGACCTTCTCTGAGGAGGAAGCAGGTGAGACCTGCCTTCGTGCCCACCTTCTCCTAAGGACTCAGGGAGTCACGAGAACCAGCCCTGCCCAGATGCACAGAATGAGACCCACAGAGCAGCAAAGGACTTCAGAGACCCCCAAGCCAGAGCAAACACGGGACCAAAACTCACTTTATAACTAGAACTCAAGCCAGACCAAGGGCAATGTTCTCTGGGCTGCCAAAGGCTAAGAACTGAGGACGGAGTCAAGCTCTGTTGTGGCCGCCACTCCTTAAGCCGAGGGCACCCCCCTAGCTGCCGCCTAGTGCTGCTGCACTGGCAAGGGGCGGGGAGCACTTTGATTACTCACAGCCATGGTAGGAGGCCGGTGATCCCCCAGCCTTGCCGTACTCCTGCTCCGAGTAGCTGGTGGAGAGGTTGGGCTGGCTGGACCCACGCCCAAAGGTGATCTGGTTGCTGCCCATACCAGTGGCAACCTGAGCCATGCGCTCTTTGGTCTTGAGAGCCTGGGCCCTCTCGGCCTTCAGCCGCTCCTCGTCCTTGAGAAGGGCCACCAGTTGCTTTGACTTCTCACGCACATTGATGCCCTGGTCCTTGCCATCGCGGTCTATGTACTGGAAGTCCTTCAGGGTCTGGATGGCAAAGATATTCTCTCGGCACTGCTGGGCCACCCGCTCAGACCCCGTCTTGATGAGATAGTCCAGCAGCGTCAGTGCCTTGTACACGTGCCGCCAGTTCTTGCCATGGTCATTGAGCCGCTTCCACACCATGCTCATGATCTCCGAGAAGGCCACTACATTGTAGGTCAGGTCAGCTATCTCGGTCATCAGAGAGCTGGATGGGCCCCATGGGTCATTGGAAGTGGCTTCCCGGACTTTGATTTCAGCTTCTGAGTAATTGTTCACAATGTTTTTCATCTGCCGTCTGATAGAAGAAGTCGTCATCTTTTTTCTTTGTTACAAACTTAAAGCCCTTCAAAGAGAGAAACTTCCCTGACCTTGTTAAGTCTGCACCCTAGGAAGGCTCAGTTTCTGCAATCAATCTAGAGCAAGATCCCTGAACAGTCATTTCCTCCTCTGGAGCCCGAGAGCCGAGAAGCTGGAAGCCATGACCTGGAGAAAGAAAGAAAACCCACTCCGTTGCGATGTGAGTGCCCTGGGACATGGGAAACTCCAGCCTAGACACTTTCGTGAACAGCAGGTGTTAGGTGTAACCGGGAGGGTATGAGTAGACACACCCCGGCCTCCTTAGGATGAAACTAACATAAGATCAATATCACCATTTAAATAAAGAATAAAATTTGAACTCAAGTTTAAGCCTTTAGAAGAAAAGTAAACATTATGACTATTACTCTATTTTCAAAATACTACCACTGGAATGGCTATTATGCAGGTTGTATTTTCACCGTCTGGCAAAAGCCAGCTGTGGAAGAATCAGAATGTTGGGGGAAGCTGATGCTTACAGACTTAAAATTACATATCCGGGCAAGAAAACACCTCCTTTCAGGTCTATCTTAACCCCAAAATGCCTGCCTATATCATTGAAATTGTTGAACATTTGGCTTGGTCCACTATGCTTCTGACAGCCCAGGAAATTCTCCTTGAGAACCACTTTTCCCCTAACTTCCCCTACTCAGAATTTTACAAAGGTTCCTGCCAGCTCTTACAGAGCAAGGTGAAAGACCTCTGCTTGGTTTTGTAAACTAAAAATAAAACCCTAAGCCCCCCTGCCAACTGAACAGACATGCTTCTTGGCCAAGTGGACCCCAGAAAACCTTAAAACTGAGTACCCAGCCAGGAGGGAAGGGTGGTCAAGCCTCATTATACCTACTCCCTTTTAGAGTTTAAACACAATTGACTAGCATTAATGATGAAACAGACATCTTTATGACAATAAGATACTAAGTTATTAACAGGACCTAAGGCCATGTTAAAGGCCTAGGCAAAGGTTAAATCACACCTGCTCAGACCATCAGTTTGCTTAAGAGATCACTTGAGTAGGTATATTGTGGCTTGTCTCTGTTAACGGACTCTCTTAACTTAAAACATTGCAAGCTCTCAGACAGAGCTTGCTTGTTCTGTTGCCCAGGCTCCGTCGCAGGCCACAGCAACCTCAAACTCCTGGCCTCAAACGATCCTCCTGCCTCTCAGGCCTGCATGAGCCACTGAGCCCAGCTGAGATTTATTTCTGGAACCAATTACAAATCAAAGAATCTTTGAACCCAACTATAAGCTATAAGCCACCCCCCTTCAAGAGGTCCCGCCTTTTTGGGTCAAACCAATGTACTAATCTATGATTTTACCCATAATTCCTATCTTCCTAAAATGTATAAAACCAAACTGTAACCCAACGGCCTGCAGACCACTTACTCAAGGCTTCTTGGGTATGGCTCCCCAGACTGACGGTCACTCATGTTCAGTTCAGAATAAACCTCTTTAAATTATTTTATAGAGTTTGGATTTTTTTTCCATTAGCAGCTTTCAGAAGCATCTGGCCCAAGCTAATACAGACTTAAAACTAATCTGGTTATAGCCCAACTCCCTCATTTCATGGAGCAGAAAATTGAGGCCCAGGGCTACACATTAACTAGCTCCAAATACATCATCTATCCCCTTTTTTCCTCCAGATAAGACACACTTACCAGGCTAGAGTGAGGTCCATGTCTATGACACTAGGCTCTGGTCCACACGGTTGGTGACCTCCATCTGTCTCATCACCAGTGAGCAGCCACACCTAGCACTGTGCCCAGCTTGGAAATAAATACTGTTGAATAAACGGATGTTACAGATTAAAAACAGTGTCCCTGTCCTCAACAAGGCCACAATCTGGCAGGAGATGGAGGTTTCTCTTCTATAAAATGAGAAAACTGAGGCCCAGAAGCCCAGGGACTACCACAAATACAGCAGCACAGCTGGCACCTGGACAGAAATCAAGGGGCTCCACCCACCTCCCCTGCCACCTGCTTGGCTCCTTTGGGTCCCTCAGTAAGGGCTGATTATTCTTCCTGGTAAGGATTATTCTTCCCAGGTCACGAGGTCATCTCGTCAGGACTCACTTCCAGCACCCTTGCACCAACCCTCTCCCTGCAGCCCGGGACCTGCCACCCTGCTCTGCCTGTGTGGTCTTTGGCTGGCCCCACCTTCCACATCTAAAGCCTCAGGCAGGCAGTGGGCACATCAAAAAAATAAGTAAACAAAAGGTGTTAGGAAGAGGGAAAAGCCACAGGAAATGGAATGATCACTCATCACATAGAGCCATACAAATAAGAAGGGTGTGATATTGTGAAATATATATTTGGTCTTGATCCCTATTTCCTGGCATACAACTCCCTAAAATCCTTGGAATCCCCAAAGCAGTGTTTTTGGGTGCTACTGATTGACTGGTGGCTGGCAGCCCCTAGGCAGCTTCAGGATGGGGGCTGGTCACCAGAAAGTCCAAGGCAGGATTAGAGGATTGGGACTCTCAGCCCCACCCCCCAACCTAAGCAGTGGGGAGGCTTGGGGGGGCGCTGAAGGTTAAATCAATCACCAATGGCCACCAATGGTTTAATTAGTCAAGCCTACGGAATGAAGCCTCAAAAAAACCCCAGAGCTTCCAGACGGCTGACCATGTGGAGGTTTGGCCAGTGGCGCACTGGGAAGAAAGCTCTCTGTCCCTCCCCCATACCTCACCCTAGGCATCTCTTCATCTGTATCCTTTTGTAACATCCTTTATAATGAGCCAGTAAACTTAAGTATTTCCTGAGTTCTGTGAGCTGCTCTAGCAAATTAATCAAACCCAAAGAGGGGGTCATGGGAACCCCAACTTGAAGCTGGTCAGTCAGATGTTCCAGAGGCCCAGACTTGCGAGGGATGGGAGCAGGGTGGTCTTGTAGGGCTGAGCCCTCAGCCTGATCTGAAGCTACTTCTAGGTAGACAGCGTCAGAATTGAATTGGAGGACGCCCAGCAGGTATCCGCTGCAGAGCTGATTGCTTGCTTGGTAAATGGGGAGAAATCCCCACACATTTGGTCACAGAAGTCTTCTGTGTTGATTGTTGCTGTTGAGTACTGAGTAAGAAAACAGGACAAGCACTTTAAGTTTGTGTTTTTCCACACAAAAAGGCGGACAGCTCATAAAAGTTCACCTTGGTGACATTCCATACATCTACTTCAGCCAAGGAGGACTTCTCTCCACCCTCAAATATGCCAAGGATTCTGTCTCCATCTGAAGCCAAAGAACTGGGCATCAGCTGAAGGCAAGCATATTCTGCTTCTGCAGTGATCTGCCATAAATCCTCTAAAGCCTATCAAAGGACCAGGGATAAAAACTTTTTTATGGTGACCTGTACATTTGATTTAATTAGGCAGAGATAGGATGGGGCCTCCAAAAGGAAAAAAAGACGACTGATTTTTAACAGTATTTCCCAGCTCAAAGTGCAAATGTATGTCAAAATCAGTAGTAATATTCAGATGTACTTAATGTCCAGGGCCCTACAACTTGCCAGGGACCACCTGACACTTCCATTTGTCAGTACATTTAGTAAACGGCAGGTATGACTGTCCAGCTTCTCAGAGAAGTGGGCAGAGCTGGCATTCACCACTGAAGAGGCCCTGGGCCACCTCCCTCCAGGTCATGAAGCAAGTGAGAGCAAAGGGTCCTGGTCAAAAGGTCTCAAATGGCTGAGAATATCTTAAGGGAAAAAGAACCCTTTCCTAAGGGAGAAACAACACCCTGGGCTCTGCTGCCTTCCTCTATCTGGCTACCTGGGAGGCGGAGGGGTTGGGTTACCTCCCGCTAGGCCCAGAGTCCTCCCTGGGAGGCTAGGAAGAGTCTGTGAGGCCCAGTCATGGCTCCCACTGAGCCTCCTAGGCCCTTGGCAGCAAAGAAAACGCAGTGATTCCTATGAGCTAGGGCCGGGGTGCCTTTGCCCTCCCAGACACAGGCTAGGAAAGGAACCCCAACAATTTAGAAACCCAGGCTGTTGACCAAGGCAGGGGCTTTCTCTAATAGGCTCAATTTGCAAAGACATCTGTCAGTGGTATCTTTGAAATACTTAGGCTTCAGAAAGAAGGAAAAAGCTAATAAAATATTTACTGTAGTCAAAAGACACAAAATAAAGTCTATATAATTTGCATAGCTGTCGGCTACTTCCTTAAAGCTCATAGACATGAGCAGCTTTCAGGACCTGTGGCTGGTGAGAAGGGAGAGAGATCTGGAGATAGGAAATCTCCACTAGGAGAAAGGACTCCAGAAGTGCCTCCAAGAAACCATTTTCCAGGCCAACCAGGTTACATACCTCACCTGGGCGAGACTTTGCAGACCAAAACTTCTGACTCGAAACAAGAGAGAACCCACGGCACACAAGCCAGGCAGCAGCACCCGGGCATTGCCAGCAGGCATAAAGCTCTGCGCTGCTCTAGCTGAACACCTGAAGCTCCATGGCTCTGTTGCACTTGGCGGTGTGCACCTCAGATCCCAGCATTTCCCATTCAAAACTTCTCCCGCTCAACCTCAGACTGTCTCCTGTCCCAGCAAACACCTGCCAGGGCTCCCTCCCACGAGCAAGCCCTGAACACATACCACCCTCGACAAGAGATCCTGTTATTTCTAGAACCTGAGTTTTGTTTTGTTCTCACTCTTTTCAGAATAGTTTGCATGCTCCACTTTCCAAACTGTCCTTCTCAATTTGACAATTTTCTTCCACTTCCAGCTGGCTGAGGCTGAATGTGCAAATACAACTGAAACAGATCACTTGTTACCTTCTGGGCTCCTCACTCCAACCTGAGGAAGTGTGGTCAGTTCACAATCATTTCTTACAGACCTGCAGGCCAGACATGGGTGTGTGTTGGGGAAGGGTGGGGGTGGGAGAATTGTCAAAATAAGAAGGAAAAGTAAACTTTCTTAAAGGTTTAGACCAAAAATAACAACCAAAAAAAGTGGAAAACTTATTTTCATTCATTACATACTGACAACTGAAGAGACCACTGCCATGAGAACATCACTAACCAGAAATACCTTTAGAAATCCAGTTCTACCAGCAGGTATTACTTAGAACTGTTTTATGCTAAGTGGTAAATGAATACCTGAATTTGTACAATTCTGTTACAACCTTAAATATTTTTGAATGGAGACAGCAAAGTGTGAGGTAAAATGGGATTTATTATTCAAAGCAAACAAATCTTTCTGCGCCTACCAAGAGAACTGTTGCAAGGGCTGGGCCAGCCCACAGAACAGCCATTTTATTTTCTGGATGAGCAGACAGGCCACCCGCCACCACACCTCCTCACTCTAGCTCCAGCCCTAAAGAGCCTACGTTTTGAAATTGTACTAATTAATAAATCATTTTATTAACAATCAGGGTTGCTGATGCACATGAGATAACTACTAATCACGCTGAGTCAATAAAATTCCAACCAACAGCAAAGAAACCGAACACACAGCTGGTCTGGGGAAGGGGCACCATGGGCAATGCAGAATTTGTCAGGCCTTTTGAAAGTCCTTAGGAGCTTCAGAGATTCCATGTAAAGAGCCACAATGTATTCAGTAAAAAGGGAACACTCACTTTTCTACAGCTAATTTCCAGAACTAGGGAAGGTTCTTTAAGCCAAATAATACTTTTATTTCCATCCTAGAAATGGAATCTGTTGGTTGTACCTGTGCAACAACTATATCCCCTTAGAAGGAGCATCTAGACCTTCAACTCAGGCCAGGCCAATCAGCATTACAGCCCCCTCCCCACCCATCCACCATTACAGTGGCTAGATCAGGGATGTGTTGACAATCCAGACTGGGCCACCTGGAGATCTCTCTGGACGGTCTCTGAAACTTCTGGGAAACCAGTAGGGTTGTTAAGCTCCTGGAAGACACCATAGGGCTAGGTCCAGAGTTTACCTAAGACTGAAGCAGACACCGAAGAAAGCAAGGAGCCCAGGAGAAGAGAAGGAGCAAGACACAACATCACATGGCTTGAGCCTCTGGGTCCACCTGTGCCTGAAGCCATTTATCCCCTGGACTTCTCAGTTATATGAGAAGTCATCCATAACCTACAGCAATGTGTGCTTTTGGAACTTGCATCTTCAAGTCCTGGGCAGGAAGTACTTGAGAAGACCAGAGAAGGAAAGGCAGCAACAGCCAAACGGCAAAAGGATAGCACACGTCCCATACCCGTTCCCCCAAAGAGACCCTAAGTAGAAATGCAGAGACATCAACCAGGCTCTCCTCAGCCACAGCTGACTTTCGTCCCAGGACTGATCAAGAGGGGCTGCAAACTTCCCAGGGAGGCTTGGTACTTTCCGAGAACGCAGTACTCCCAACCAAAGCCCAGAATCATCTACTCTTTTGCGAGGGTGACTTACGATGGGGACCATAAAGTAACACCTGGATCCCCCCATGTGGCAGGGAATAAGCTGGGAAAAAAAATTCTGGTATACCTGAAAACGCAATCAGAATTCAAATGACAGTGGAGACTGGAAGAGACTAAATAAAACAGCAAACAGAACAAAACTGGAAAAAAAATTCCAAGGCTAGGGTGATGCCCCTGGAGGCAAGAAAAATTCCATAACAACTCGCTCCAAGGGCTTCCAGAGCTGGGTGGGGAAATTCTTTCCAAATCTAGAGTTCCCAACCATGGGAAACAGAGAGGCTGTTCCCGGTTCCCAGCAGCCCAGGTGGGCCCATGGTGTCTCTCTGCCTCGTGCGTCTGGGGCGTTGCTGGCCTAATGCTAAGAACATGCTCACCCATTAGTTGGGGTCTACACCAAATCCCTCAGGAGATTTTGGGTAGTGAC